CTTGAGAAATCAATTTGGGATCTACTATCAAACAGAGGACCCATCTTTTCACACCACAAAATACAGATAGTTTTAAACACATTATAACCAAACACTATTCTGGATTTTTAGCAGTGTCTCAGTTTAGCTCCTGTTGTGCATCTAGTCTTGCATAATATTTTTATGGTGTTCATTCTAAAATGAATATATTGTAACAAATCTCTAGTTGCTTACATGAGAAAATTTTGTGACTATAATATATAAATTAGTTTAATTTGTGGGTTCTCTACAAAATCAATAATATGTTATAAGAAAAATTGACCTGTTGCCTATCTTTCTGGAAGATTTAAATAGAATGCTACATTCTATAAAGACTGTGTTATTTGACAAAACATAGTTTTGTATACCAGAAAATGTAATTGGTAGAGGAGTATGTATGCAGCTAATCTTAAATAATTTGCTCAAACGTTTAAATAAAGTTCGAAAAGCAGGAGGCCTGGGAACATTTTCATGGCGATGATGGTAAGAAGGGGGAAGAAAGGATGCTGAAGACATTCCAGGGAAATGAGTTTCTGATTTTGACTGAATTAGTATCAATAGCTGGGACTCATAATGAGTTCATGCAACTTAGTCCATGTCTGATGCCCATCACAGAACCTGTTGCCAAGGACAGGACAATAAAAGTGAGAAACAATTCTGTATTTTCCTGATATATTTCTTCACAAGGTGCTACAAGTTAGAAAACTGTAGTTAAAAGCAACACAAACAAACTTACAAACAACTATGTATAATTAATTCAGACAAAATATCACCCCAAGACACTCAATCACCAAACTGGCATATATTTTACATATAATATCAAGCCATTTAATGCTTCTGTATTTGTTGCATTGCAGGGGGCTGTTCTATTGAAATTGAAATTTTACAGATAGATAGATAGATAGACAGACAGATAGATAGATAGATAGATAGATAGATAGAGATCTACATATATACTCAGTACAATGATTATAAACCTTATAGAGATTAACACACTAGCAAAGACCATGAGGACCCTAAATAAGACTTATGTTGCCATTCTCCTAGTATTTTAATAACAAGATACATGCATGTCCTTCTGATTCAACAGAATTTCAATTCTGATTCTGAATTGAATTGATATTTCTGATTCAACAGAATTTCAGGAGCATGAGGATATTTTAAACAGTATGTGGCATATTAGAACCTGGAGCATTGCTTACCAGTTGGTGTAAGGTGTCTCCAGGTGATAACAGGTTCAGGACGGCCATTGGCCATGCAGACCAGAGTCACATTGCTGCCCTCATTCACAGTGACATCCGAGGAGATGTTGGAGATCTTTGGTGGGACTGTGAAAATAAAAGCAAATGGAATATGTAACCATGTCAGTAAGATTAGGCTTGTAGCCATACAACTGGAAGTGGCAAATTCAAGGTTTTATAACTTAATTTGAATTTTTGTGTTAAGAAGTAAGGTGCTTTTAAGACCCATGCTTGTCATCTGCTTACCAAATCTGTAAGTTATCCTTAAGCACATACATTGTGAAGGTAAGAACACCCTTCACAATGGCCATTTGAGTGCCGTAGGAAATACACAAACTAGTAAGATGAAAATATCTTTGCTTTTAAAAATACTAGAATGTACCTTATTTAGATATTAGACAGCATGCACATTTATGCAAATTAATAATATATTATTTCTTATCATTGTTGTTTAAATTTATTTTCTTATGTGTATATAAATATAATCCAATGTCTTCTTCAAGTACCAGCAAAAGAAAAACAATGCTATTTAGCATAAGATTACATTACTGTATTATTAAGATGTGGCAATACCTGGTTACTTATAATCTAGCAACATAATGAACATGGATTAATCATCACAATAGAAAGCATTTAAAT